GCCCGGCCAGCATTTAGTATGATTAATTACTACTCACCTTATAGAAATCTCTCCTCTCTTAATTTCAATAGCATCATTTTCTGTGCTTGTTTTTCCTCTTCTTAATGTTAAAGAATGGTGTCCCAAAGCTTCCTTTTATTTTTGACACTCTTCTTCTCTTTTCCTGCTATGTAGTTTCAATGGGTTATGTCATGCACTCATGGCTTCAATTCCAAAGTTTAAAACTTTAATTTAGAGCATTTTCGACAAGTACTTGCCAACTTTCTTTACTTTGATGTTCCATAAGCACCTCAAGACCGATACTTTAAGAAATGAACTCTCCCTCCCAAACTCTCTTCTTATTGCCCTTCTTATGTGGGTGGGAAAAAACCAGTAATAAAAGTATTATAATAAGCATTAATGGTAAATTAGACACCACATAATTTCAGAGTATAAATTTTGTCCTGTTAATATTTTGGCAAAAGGATGTATATTCTTTCCTACCTTGAGTACTCTTGTTCAACTGATGCGAGATCAAATCACTACTGAATTATATGAAAGGAAATAGGCTGGGATTCAAATATGTTAGGTAGTATAATAAATCCCAGGAAAACTTGCACATCTGTCTAAGTTGAACATTATGACAAGTAAATCAATAAAAAATAGAAATAAATATGCATCAGAGATAGACTCATCTAGAAAACAATTGAAGAGAAAGGTTGACAGCAGTGATAAAGAAAATAGAAAGACATTATTTCTTAAAATTTTATCCTTAACATTTTTTTTGATGCATTCAAGGAATGTCACAACTTTTCCCTTATGAGGCAAATCTGAATAAAGGTTTTTAAAGACAGTTGTATTTTAGCCATTGTGTGCGTATGTGTGGTGTGTGTGTGTATATCTATATCTATCTTTATGTCTATCAAATGGGTTTATTGTTCAAATATTTTAAAATACAGAATTATATAAAGTAGCATTTAATCCCTTCATTATACCTGGCCCTATTTTGAAGTAATTACTATCAAAAAATTTTGGTATGCG